ATCCATTTCGTTTGGGGAATTCCTTCATCACGAATTACCCGTTCGCTTTGCTTCCCGCGTCAAGCAATTGGAGGCCCTCCCTCTCTTCCATACGGAGCCCTTAGTTATGCACGTCCGTGGGTACATTAATTTATTAATAGCTAGCTAGCTAGCAAGCTAGCTAGCTAGATAAATAGCTAGCTAGATAAATAGCTAGCTAGGTAGCTGTAGCTAGCTAGCTATATAGCTAGCTAGCTATAGGGCTAGCTGTCCACACGGATAGCTATCACACACTTAGATACCACCACTCACGAGCTTCCTTATTCTTTCTCCCTTTCGTAGTAGCTAGCTAGCTAGCTAGCTATCTAGCTAGCTATCTAGCTAGCTATCTAGCTAGCTAGCTGCTTAATTGCAGTATTCAAGTCCCTTGTTTTCCCATCCAGCTCTGGCTTGCTGCGTTCCCGAAGTGCCTGCCTCTAGCTGTCACCTAGCTAGCTAACTAACTACCTAGCTAGCCAACTAGCTAGCTAGCTAACTAGCTAGCTAGCTAGCTGTATAAGCACCAAGGTCTGCTGCTGCTGTGCAGGTACGGCATACTTATGTTGAGAGCTTCAAGCAGCTTCGCACAACTTCGGCTAAAGATCCAAAGGCCTTCAGAGAGGTATATATATGCTGCTGCTGCTGCTGTTGCTGCTGCTGCTGCTGTTGCTGCTGCTGTTGCTGCTGCTGCTGATGCTGCTGCTGTTGCTGCTGTGTGTGCTGCTGATGTAGCAGATAAAGGTTTTCTGTTGGCTATTTGTTCTTGCTTGCTGCTGCTGTCCTCGTGAGGCTTTCCTGTTCCTTTGTTGAATGTATACAAAAGAGGATATTTATATTATATTTATATTTCCTTTTTTCTTTTTTTTCTTTTTTCTATTTTTTTTCTTTTTTCTTTCTTTTTTATTCAGGTTGTCTTTGATCTAAAAAGAAGACATGCACCAATAGTACCAATGCTCGTCACAGGGATTCGCAACTTAAGAGAAGTTGCACCTCAATTCTTTGTAAACCCTAAACCCTAAACCCTAAACCCTAAGCCCTAGACCACATGCAGCAAACCCTTCACAAGGAAAATGTATAGGGGCAGAGAAAGCAGGCAGAGAGGAGAGAGAGAGATGAGGCAAAAGAGAGAGAAAGACGCATAAACAGACAGACAGAGGCAAGAAGGTACAGAGAAATAGATAAATAGAGGGGGAGAAAAGGAAACATTAAGAATGCAACAGAAACAACAGGAAGGAAATACATAAATAGGAAAAGATACACCTAAGGGAGCATACACACACAGGCATGCACAGAAAAAAAAAAGAAAAAAAAAATAATATTCATATAATTGCCTCTTTGTGCAGACGGAGGAATTTGTTGATGAATTTCTCGATGGCTTTTTTCTTTCAAGGATTGGTGAGGATACCTCAAACCCTAAACCCTAAACCCTAAACCCTAAACCCTAAACCCTAAACACTAGAGCGAACCCCGTCGGGAAGTTCTCAGCAGCAGTACAGGGTGATATACTCCCCGGGCATTGTGGTCTTGCAGGTATGAGCCCGACAGAGAGAGCCTTTAGGGTTGAGGGTTTAGGGTTTACAACGTAATTTGGCGTTACGTCTCTAACAAAGTGTTTCTCTTCTGTTCTTTTAGGGTTTAGGGTTTAGCGGTGCTGCATTTGCCTCCTTTTGCCTCCTCAGGGACGGAAATGCTTACCAGCAGCTACTTAACCCCCAATGGCGTCGTTGATATGGGTGATGCAAAGGTTTAGGGTTAAGGGTTTCGGGTCTTGAGGGTTTAGGGTTTAGGGTTTAGGGTTTATGGTACAGGGCTATGTGGGTGTGTGATGGATGCGCGCCGCTGCAGCTTGTGATCCTTTCCAGGTGACGAAGAGAGCAGCTGAAGGTAGGAAGAGTGCCTTTGATTAAGGGTTTAGGGTTTAGGGTTTAGGGTTTAGGGTTTTCGTGCCTTTCCTTTCCTGCCTACGGTTGTAAGATTTTAAACTTTTAAAGGAAATCCCCCTCATCGTTTAGGGTTTAGGGTTTAGGGTTTAGGGTTTGGGCAGTCTAGCCACAATCCTCTCTCTGCAGACACTGAGCGTCTCTGTCATTCCCACTATGGGCGCTGCCCACAGATTAAAGTAAGCGCAGAGGCTATTAAGGGTTTGTGCTGCTCTCCTTACTCCTTTCTGTGGTTTGCTGCAGCACTGCTGCTGCAGTCTTCCCTTCTGCTGCTGTGCATTCCTTCGTCTACCTAAGCGGTAGTGCATCAAGTGTTAGGGTTTAAGGGTTTATGGTGCAGATTGTATGGTTTGGCTGAGTGAGGGGATGTATTCTGTATTCTAGGGTTTAGGGTTTAGGGTTTAGGGTTTAGGGTTTGCGTTCAGATATGGAACGTTAACGGGGCACACTTTGCGTCTGTCCCACAGTATTTGTATTATATTCTATCGGAGCTATTAAAGGTATGCACAATATATATATATATATATAATATATATATATAT